AGAGAGAGAGAGAGAGAGAGAGAGAGAGAGAGAGAGAGAGAGAGAGAGAGAGAGAGAGAGAGAGAGAGAGAGAGAGAGAGAGAGAGAGAGAGAGAGAGAGAGAGAGAGAGAGAGAGAGAGAGAGAGGGACCTAGGGTTCGCGAGAAAGATTGAGAGAGACAGAGAGGTACCTAGGGCAGAAGAAACACGAGAGGCGGAGCCAAGAGATCGAGATGGCCACCGGGGTAATACATATGCAAAGAAATGCCGGCTGCAGGGTTCAGTTCACATATAACACAAATTAGTATCATATTATTTGGATAAGCTGCAACATTGCAGAAACCAAATGCCTTAGTCGAGTTCCCCCAAACGGGTTCTAAACATTTAGTTTATTTTAATTTATATTTTATGTTGAATGAATGAGATATGAAGGAAACTGAGAGTTTTTATTATGGAGATATTTACCAGTTCTCTTTCGCTAAGTTGTTTTTTGGCAGGGATTCACATAGAAATCGCCAAATTCTATGTATTTACATTGAAATTTATTTTTTTTAAAATAATAACAATTTTTATGTGATATGAAAGTTTTGCGTTGTATAAATGTGAAAAGTTAAAAGATATTAGATATATAATACGTACAAATTGGGTAAATGCCCTTGATTTATATCTCTCCTCTTCCTTAAATTTAACCAACATAGATAATCTTCTCGGAAATTTTTAAGTAGCACACAAATCTTATGTATTTACATATTTCATGCCTAAGCTTTCATATTTACACTCGTAACACTTCGGTGCTTTAAAGTTATGCATAAGAAAATGTATTTGATTTTTAAAAATGGCAATAGTATTATTTTTTATGCAATGTTAACGATTTGGGTGTTGTGTAAGTACGAAAATTCAAGTGTGAGACAAGTAAATACCGAAGAATTGTGTGTTATGTATGTTTATGCCCCTTATCATTTTCTTAATTGTTAGTTATGTTTATGTTTATCGCACTCATCTGGCTGGGATGAAGAATTGGAAAACTTGTTTAATTAGTGGTGTACATGAGTGGGCTTAGAGCTCGTTCGTATTCAACTCGTTCAAATTTTTATATGTTCGAAATGAACTCGTGTTCGAAATAGCTCGCCTATTCATTTTCGGGTATAGTCAAATTCAAATTTTGTTCTAATTAGCTCGTGCTGGGCTCGATTTTGTGCTATAGAGCCTATATTCTTATTTGATTTAAACTCAAATTCATCCCCCTTCTTGAAAATCCTTGAAAGCGCGAAGGAAAAAAAAAAAAACTGGTTATATAACTGTATAAATCCTAAGCCAAATTCAACAAATCTTACCAAAACAGTAAGGATCGTCCGGCCACAATTGGGTGAGCCAAACTCGACCTAACATATCCAATCAGATTATATAATTAATTAATTAATTAATTAATTAATTAATATAGAGAACAATCTGATTGGATATGTTAGGTCGAGTTTGGCTCACCCAATTGTGGCCGGACGATCCTTACTGTTTTGGTAAGATTTGTTGAATTTGGCTTAGGATTTATACAGTTATATAACCAGTTTTTTTTTTTTTCCTTCGCGCTTTCAAGGATTTTCAAGAAGGGGGATGAATTTGAGTTTAAATCAAATAAGAATATAGGCTCTATAGCACAAAATCGAGCCCAGCACGAGCTAATTAGAACAAAATTTGAATTTGACTATACCCGAAAATGAATAGGCGAGCTATTTCGAACACGAGTTCATTTCGAACATATAAAAATTTGAACGAGTTGAATACGAACGAGCTCTAAGCCCACTCATGTACACCACTAATTAAACAAGTTTTCCAATTCTTCATCCCAGCCAGATGAGTGCGATAAACATAAACATAACTAACAATTAAGAAAATGATAAGGGGCATAAACATACATAACACACAATTCTTCGGTATTTACTTGTCTCACACTTGAATTTTCGTACTTACACAACACCCAAATCGTTAACATTGCATAAAAAATAATACTATTGCCATTTTTAAAAATCAAATACATTTTCTTATGCATAACTTTAAAGCACCGAAGTGTTACGAGTGTAAATATGAAAGCTTAGGCATGAAATATGTAAATACATAAGATTTGTGTGCTACTTAAAAATTTCCGAGAAGATTATCTATGTTGGTTAAATTTAAGGAAGAGGAGAGATATAAATCAAGGGCATTTACCCAATTTGTACGTATTATATATCTAATATCTTTTAACTTTTCACATTTATACAACGCAAAACTTTCATATCACATAAAAATTGTTATTATTTTAAAAAAAATAAATTTCAATGTAAATACATAGAATTTGGCGATTTCTATGTGAATCCCTGCCAAAAAACAACTTAGCGAAAGAGAACTGGTAAATATCTCCATAATAAAAACTCTCAGTTTCCTTCATATCTCATTCATTCAACATAAAATATAAATTAAAATAAACTAAATGTTTAGAACCCGTTTGGGGGAACTCGACTAAGGCATTTGGTTTCTGCAATGTTGCAGCTTATCCAAATAATATGATACTAATTTGTGTTATATGTGAACTGAACCCTGCAGCCGGCATTTCTTTGCATATGTATTACCCCGGTGGCCATCTCGATCTCTTGGCTCCGCCTCTCGTGTTTCTTCTGCCCTAGGTACCTCTCTGTCTCTCTCAATCTTTCTCGCGAACCCTAGGTCCCTCTCTCTCTCTCTCTCTCTCTCTCTCTCTCTCTCTCTCTCTCTTTTCTCTCTCGTGTTTCTTCTGCCCTAGGTACCTCCAGAGAATGACACTCCTACTGTAAACTTCAAAGTTCCTTGTTAACTTTAAGTCAGCTACATAGCTATGAGAAATTGTTTTACATGAGCCTAATAATAGGGCTATCAAAACGGCTCGTTGTTTGCGAACAGCTCGTGTTCGGCTCGTTAATTTCATTTGATAAGTTAACAAGCCAAACACAAAATTCAGGGGGCGGACAACGAACTAAGATGTGTTCGGTTCGTTTTGGCTCTAAATACTACTCATCAAGTATATATATATATATATTAAGTAGTATTTTAAAAAAATTTAATTGACTACAAGGCTACAAAGATTTATAATCAATTAAAATATTGATTAAGAAAATAAAATAAAAATTATTAAATTAGATTCAAATGATGTTTTAATATAAATAATGCTTTTTAAATTTTGCTCAAACTCTTATTGTCTTATGGCTACATGATTAAGGTTGTTAAAAGGACTCTTTGTTCGTGAACAACTCGTGTTCAGCTCGTTAAACAAACGAGTCAAACACGAATACACTTTTTGAGCTCGAAATATAAACGAGCTCACTCGTGTTCGACTCGTTTACACCCCTACCTAAAAAGAATCACAGAAAACTATGACTATTTTCAGTGGACAGATAGGTTGGAAGATTCTACCGTCGGGACTGATTGGGCTTGGAGAGGTGTCATACATCGTCTACATTTTAAAACTAATATTATCATATTATTAATTGTTGTTTTAGTAATTTTTTTTTTTTTAAAATTTTAGTAGTCATGTTATCCACTGTTAAGTGAGATGTTTATCTTTATTTTATAATGTTATGCACTAAATATTTGTTTTTAAAGTATAAAATGTACTAGCATGAATAGTTCTGTTGCAAATAACATTACTATATAGGAGCAAAATTGTCATTTGTCCAGAAACAACTGCAACACAACTATTTTCAAACTACAAAAAATAAATAAAATCAACTCATCAACAACGGCGTCAACTGCCCCAAACAGACTCTTAATTATCGGCCCATTGGTGACAAGATTATTATTTAGTAAAATAATCCTTCCCAAAATTAAATTACGTAATCATACACTCTATCTCCAAAAGTAATTTAGCAAGCAATAAACCAGTCTAATGAGAGTATAATTACAGTCAGCCGCCCGCCCCTGTAACATAGCTGCAAGCCACAAGCCTGACGAAACCCTTGTGAAATAGATGACAACTTTCTTCAAATTAAAAAGAGAGACGGCTCCTTTGACTCAGCTTCCCTCGAATTTATCTTTCAACTCCTTGGAGTTGAGTAGGAGAAGCAATTAGTTTCCCCCCTGCCATATTTCTGGTAAGAAGGTCTCTCTCTCTCTCTGACAGACACACTTCGTTTCTTCTTCTTCTTCTTCTTCGAATAAGTCTTCTCTTTTTAGTTCTGGAGATCAGTGGAGCTAATATGATGCCGTATTTGGCGTCGACGTCGCTGTCGGCGACGGTAAGAGTTGAGAAAGCGACGAGCCATCTGCTGATGATTCCGGACTGGACGATGAACATGGATATCTGCGACGCCATCAATACTGATCCCTTGTGAGCGCTAGTTCTTGAGTTAAAGAATTTATATCTGTGCTGGGATTGGGATTCTTGATTGATTTTAGGGTTTCTGTTTGCTCTGTTTATTTTCTCGATCAAACTGATGCTGGTTTTCGATTCTACTGTTTCAATCGGAAAAGCGCAGTTATTAGAGCATAAAATTGTTTCTACTGAGATGTAATAAGTAGTTGATTTTAATATTCCATAGTTTTTTCCAAAAAAAAAATTGATATTTGGTTCCCTTATTTTTTGTTTTTGTTTTGATTTAGCTTGCTTTAAATTTGTGTTTACTTTTATAAGCAAACAAAACAAACATGGTTGATATGTTCTGTGGAAGTTGAAACGCAATTATTTATTTATATATGGCTAGAAATTTGAAATTATTGCTTTATTATACGATTCTTAATCAATCTTATGAATTTTAGCCATGATCAAAAGGTTAAAGAGAAATGATACTATTTGCATATTTGTAAATATTTACTATTTCCACAAAACATGATCACCTTACTTTTATTTGTAGGTGTGACTGTATATGTGACTGACCGATCATTTTTGCAATCCATGTAGTCATTGTCTAGTAGTTTTCCTTGTGATCGTCATCAACAGTTTTTTCAAAATAATTATAATAATTTTACTATTATTGTGGATGTTATTATTACATGGCATTTTACTTTTTTGATAATATGTTCCCTAGTTTGGATAAGAAATATTGAGGGTTGATGCTAGGCTAATTGCTGTAAAGCTTACGTTTAAATTAATGAAATTAATCTAAATTTAAATTTTCTATTCTTCGGGTTTTCCCATGAAGCGATGCACTATGATTTAACCAAATTATTGTGAGAACTAAGCAATATTGGGCTAAGACATCACTCTTAAGTGATATATTATAACTTAACCCGATTGTGGTGAAAGGTAAGCAAGTGTAGATCAGGATGTCATGCTTTAAATGACAATTTCAACAGTGAATGGATTAACTATGTGAAAAGTAAGTGGGGTTTGACTAAGTCCAAATATAAGTTTGATTTGATACTTGAAATTTTGAACTCTAAGTGGGAAGGCAAGAGAATTGGTGGATATTATGATGAGATAAAAATAAATAATATTTTTTTACAAGCTGAGGACATCGAGAAAATTATATATTATCTTGTGTCAAAATATTTTGGGCTGTTAGTGGATAAAAAATTGAAGGCTAAAATTATTGTTGTTGATAAGGTTAACGACAAGTTTTTTGTTTTAAGATAGTTATTAATGTGAAAATTATGAATGTGGTCAATGCATATGCTTCTCAAGTTGGATTAGGACTTGAAACTAGTTTAAAAAAGTAATTTGTGAAAATATTTATGAATTGCTACTACATATACCTGTTGAAGAAATGATATTTAATAGAGCTGTTTTGTTAATAAATTGATTCTTATTGGATTTTTTATGAGGTCTCATGTTGTTTAGGTAATAAGAAATAAAAACATACTGGGAGAAGCAATACTTGATTTCATATTAGCCTGTAATTTTACTATGGTGAGAATGTACTTAGAAAGATGAGAAAATAACTTGGTTAATTACAATAATGGAGTAAAAAAAGGATAAGTATATTTTTTTTTTCTTAGTTGAAGGAAAGAAAAAACTTCTTACAAAGCTTTTAAAGTGATTTCAAGAGAAGTCTTGACCACACAGTATAGGGTACTAGTTATTGATATATATCTTAAGAGTACAACAACAACAACAACAAAACCTTAATCCCACTATGTGGGGTCAGCTACATGAATCCTTTTTCTCAATTGCATTCTATTTAGTGTCATATTTTCATTTTATTCTAATAAATTAAGATCTTTTTTATACTATAAGCCCAAGTCTTCCTAAGTCTATCTTTGCCTTTCTTAACATAAGTAGAATCTAAAGCATCTACTTTCTTAATTGGATCATCAGATGATCAACATTTAATGTGACCAAAGCATCTAAGACTACTTTCTCTAATTTTATCCGTCACTGGAGCTACACCAACCATATCACAGATATATTCATTTCGCATTAAAGTCACTCATCCACCTAATCATTCTCATCTTGTCAACACAGAACTTGGCATTATGCTTCTCTTTTGAAGGCCAACATTCAGCGCAATAGAGCATTGCAGGTCTCACCACCATCTTATATAATTTTCTTTTCAGTCTAAGCGGTAATTTTCTATCACACACAAGGCCCGAAGCATTCCTCCACTCCAGTCAACCAACTTGAATTCTACTATTAACATCCTTATCTATATCACCATTGCTATGAACAACTGACCCGAGATATTTAAATCGTTCACACCTTTTAATAATTTGATCACTCTGATCACTATTTGATCACTCAAAGTTACACTTCTGTCACTAGAGCTACTACTACTAAAATTACATTCCATGCATTCAGTTTTAGTTCTACTCAAATGAAATTGGAAGATTTACTTTTCACAGTCAATCCATTCATTTCTTAACTCTTATGTTGCATAGTCAATCCATTCATCTAATATAACATCTTCTGTATTAAGAAATTGGAAGATTTACATAGGTACCACCCAATTCTTATGTATTTACATGTCTAACACCTAAAATTCAATTTTTAGGCATATGCCACTTTACCTATGCATACAAATGTGTATTTCACTTTTTAAAAGTTAAAATAATGGCATTTTTTATGTGATGTAAAAGATTTGGGTGCTATAAATAAAAAAAGCAAAGTTTAATGTTAGATATATAAATATATTCATAGGAATCGGATGGTTTGTATGTAAATGTCCCTAGAAATTTTAGGCCTTAATACATTTTGCATCACCTAGTTCCAAAGTGGTTTAATACCTCAAATTTGTTATAGTTTCTGAACGATTTTTTTAAAAATATTTTCTATTTGAATTTTGCTTCAGGTACTTCCTTATTTGACCTTTTTTTTTATCAAATCTCACTAAACTTATGAACAGATCCCTATGGAATTAAGAATGTGCGATGCCAACTGCATAAAACCATTCCTTGTAGCCATGGTCTTTATGGTGGTTTCCTTTTTCAGAGTTTTTAAAACCTTCAGATTTCATGCTCTTTTCAAAGTTGAGGATCTCATTGAAACTTTTTATAATTCAAATAATCTTCATACAAACTTATGGGGCCTAATTTTAAGTCAAGAAACCTAAAAAACCTAATGCAAAATTTTTAAAACTATCATGATTTGCTTAAATTGTGTTGTCATGGTTTAGTTTCACAACATAATTCTATGCCTGTGTTTGTTTTTTTCTCGAATGTGATTATGATTGCTTTAAATGCCTTAATGTAAATCATATCAGGCAAGCAAAAGAGTTTGTGAAAGCTGTGAAGAAGCGTTTGCAACATAAAAACCCAAGAGTTCAGTTTCTTGCTTTAATGGTACGTGTTGAAGATTTGCAAAGCTTGATCTTAAACTTATTTATGTCATGCTTGCACAATTTTCATGTCAACCTTGTCTTGCAAATCTCGTTATATGTGTTATATAATTGACATAAGTTCTATCGGACTTCGGTAGCAGTAACCTGTGTCAGCCTTTGCAGCTTTTGGAGACAATGATAAAAAACTGTGGTGATTTTGTGCATTTCCAAGTTGTTGATCGTGAAATTTTATCAGAAATGGTCAAAATTGTGAGGAAAACTGTAAGTTTAACATCTTCGTTTTTTTTTTCAGTTTCCTCTTTTCTATCAGAGAAATCATTATGAAATTTACCACATTAAAATAGTTCTAGGGTTTGTCTTTTTTTTCACATAAACTTTAAGAATTGTAATGGAATTTTCTGATGCTTAGGCAGTGAAATGATTTGCGTGCATTGCTAACTTTTTGATCCGGCAATTCCCAGCAAAAAGTGCTATAAGTTTTGAAATTCAGATATAATACAGTATAAAACATGGACAAATATAGAGATGCCGAGTTCTCTTTTCCTGCGCTGCTTTCTTTTTGAATTTGTCTATCAACTTTTTAAGTTACTATTAGTTCTTGAAAAAAATCGAAACAAACAAATTTGCCGCATTTTTTTTTACTGTAGTAACTTTTAATCTTGCAATTCCTGGCAAATTGTACGGTAAATTTTAAAATGCAAATCTAATATAGCATGTTAAGGCTATGAGAGTATTGGGTTTAATTCTACATCGGATAACTGAAACCTATGTTGATGTTGAAATACCATAAACTTAAGCATTGGGGTTGGAAACAAGTTTGTCCACTCATGTATACAATACAACTTCGATTTATTTTTTATTCACACTCACTAATAATTGGTATCAGAGCTCATGATTTGACTAAGATAAAGCAATTAATGCAATCTGTGGCTCCCATCGGGTTTTTTTCCTTTTAGGATGGTGGGGGCATAGGTGGCAGGCCACAATGGGTGACTAACGAGGGTGATTGGGTGCAGCTGCTCTTGCAGGTAGTGAACTGCAGCGGTAGGAATGGTCACAAGTGGAGAAGGTGAGTTTGCAATTTGTGAGTTTAGGAGTAGAACCTTGGATTTGGGAGTGAAGGTTCTTCACAATGTTGGTGACTGAGTACTTTACATGATGTCTGGGAATGGTTGGAGTTTCTTTTAATGATGTAGTCACTCACAAATATCTTAATTTGAATCAACAATTGCTTACATTTCATATGAAGGAATGTACATCATTGTAACGCATTTTGATGCCTACCTTAAGCTTTTGTTGAATATTGATAAAGTTTTGATCTTGTTATGCTCTGTACCACACTCTTTGGAGCACCTTATTACCATATTGTTATAGAAAAGATACTATTTTCAAAATATGTTTGTTTCAATTTATCACAATTTATCACAATAAAATGATAGTTCTATAAATTGAACAATATAAGCAATAATGATGAAACAAACTCAACACAATCATATTGTAACACATTATTGCTTGCAATCAACTTAATTAGATCAAGCAAAATAAAGCTATAAATAAACAACAAATCAAAATATAATAAAGCAAGAAAAAGCATGGCAATGACAAGAAGGAAAGAACATAAATAATTATTGGTTAGAAGCATACATTCATCTTTGCAAAGTAGTGCCAAATATCATTAAGTGCAAGGAAATGAAAAAGGAAAAGAGGCACTTCATATTGGCCTCAGATCTTTTTTGACAGGTCTCTTTTGTTTCACGTAAAGTGTCCAAGTCCCTTTGGCCTTGAATGCACTCATTTCTTTCAAATATCATAGACTATTGACTTATCTGGATGAAGACAATAACAGCTTCTTAATAGATGACGGGGATGCTTGCTTCTAAATTGATAACTTGTCTTTTTTGATAAAATGATTGTCTCCTATTTACTTTGACTTATTGTGTTTCTTTGAGAAGCTTAAGGTCACAACGAGATAGGAATCGCACCCCCCCAATCTTGTGTGTGTGTGCGTGTGAAAACAAAAAAGGAAAAAATAAATCAATAAAGTAAAAAAAGGAAAAAACTCGAACTAAAAAATCAATTAATCAAATAATGTGCCATGTATAGTACTCACTTTTATTTTTTTATACCTTGCAATGATTATAACATTGAAGATGCCCTACTCTATCTTATGGTCAATAAAGCACTCTATTTTTTAATATTGACTTGTATGTTTCTGATAAGAATCTTTTGTTGTCTTGTTTATGCTTTTGTTAAAGAGAGTGACTAGATTATATAACGAAATTCATATTCCTTGATTTTGCAAATAGGGTAAAGGCACTTAAGCTTTTTTCCACTAATGTCAGGTCACCTAGATGCTTGATCAATAGGGATTTTGAGTTCAACGAGTTTTTCATGCTTTAGCAATAATTTGGTGAAAATGTATGATTTTAGGAGATCAAAAGGTAAAAGCTATGCAGGTTTGAGAATGAGCATAAACAGGTAGTTGATAGTTTGTTATAACACCTTACTATGCTTTTATGTTTGGTAGAGATGGCATTATCACAACCAAAGGAAAGGGTGGGTTGGAGGGAGATAACATCATGATGAGACACAAATATAAAAACCTAAGCAATAGTTTCAATAATGATTTTCTTAGAAAAGACACTTAGCTCCCTAAGCGGAAGAGCCACCAAGCTATAATTAAACTTAGCCACCAAGCCCTATCTTCAACAGAGTTGCAAAGCACTTACTAAATTTCATTCATCATCAATCATCTTCATTACATGATGATACCACCTTTTATATAACAGTATAACATAAAAATTTAAGAAACAACAACAACAACAAGCCTTTATTGCACTAAGTGGGGTCTGCTACATGAATCTTTTTTCTCCATTGCTCCTTTTGAGTATCATGTTTTTATTTAATTCTGATAGATTAAGATCATTTTTAATACAATATGCCCAAATCTTTTTAGGTCCACCTCCACCTTTCTTAACATCAGTCGAAGCTAAAACATCTACTCTCCTAATCGGATCATCAAATGGTCGACATGTAATGTGATCAAACCATCGAAGACAGTTCTCTCTAATCTTGTTCACCACTGGAGCTTCACCAACCCTATCACGGATATATTCATTTCGCATTTTGTCTCTTAAGTGTCAAGCCATTCATCCACCTAAGCATTCTCATCTCAACAACACATAACTTTGTTTATGTTTCTCTTTTAAAGGCCAACATTCTGCGCCATAGAGCCTTGCAGGTCTGACCACCATTTTATAAAATTTTCCTTTCAGTTTAAGCAAAAATAAAATTATTAAGAAGAAAAGAAAGTGATGAAAATATAAAATTATTACATGAGAATAAATTACTTGAATTTTAAAATCATTGCATTTCTTGTCAATTCGAAGCTTAAGATAAAAATCATCTAGGTTATGCATGCTTAACTGAGATTTCCATCCTTCCACAGTTACTTTTTTTCCAAAAATTTAGTTTTGAATCATGTGCCTATTTCATTGTGTCGTTGCATAATTACATGTCTTGGTCGAATTTCACACAATCATTCATGCATGACTGAATGCTTCTTATTTGCCAGCCTTCAAAGCTTAAAATTTGAATAAGCATTCATGTGCATAAAACTTCTCTTGCTTTCTTTGTCGGCCTCAGGCTTAAGTTTCCCTTTCTAAAAGAGTTGTGGTGAAATCTTCATGTTAGAGTATTATGAGGACATGATGTATTGAACTTTGCTTGCATGGTTCCATCTCATTGGCCGAAATTCCATCTCATCTATGCCCAAATTCTCTAATTTCCATATAAGGATTGCCTCCAAGATTCAATTTTGAACATATTCCCTTACCAAATGTGGTTGCACCTTGCTTAGTCGTACCATGCAAGTGGATGAGGCTTAAATTTGCTTCAATTTGAATGGACCGTGTGCTTTGCCGACCACAAATGGTTAATGTAATGAATATTTTATAATGTTAAACTATTACATTAATTAATTCTTTTGGAAAAATCACACGACACACTTATGACATGGAGTTTAGGTTGGAAAATAATAGGTTGCCACAACATGATTTGCATGCTCGCTAATAACATATTTCTCATGTCATTGTTCTATTAACATTCAATATCAACCATATGATGATTTTTTATTGAACATATGACGGTTACTTCCTTAATATAATAATTTCATGGCAAGAGGCTTTCCAAAAATGTAATTATTTCAATGTAGTTGTTCTTTATCAGCAACTATTACTTTTTATAGAACAAATGATAGATTAAACCATCTTATATATTTGTTTATGAGGATTCCTCATGTAATCATATGATTTCATGTGTTTTGTGCATTGTTAAGTCTGTTGGATATTAAAAGCCATCAGTTTTAGTGGATACTATCAACATAAGAGAATCAAAGCAGTGAACCATAACTATGGAGTTGGCAGTCTTTAGAAAAGAATGAAATTTTGGATAAGGTTCAATTCCACAGAGTCAAGAGTAGCGTTGGCTATAAATGAGTCTTTAAGCACAAAAAAGGAATCTAAGGTGAAGATGTTAGTACATACAAAGCATGATTGGTTGTAAAAAACTATATAAAAGAAGGTTTGGACTTATGTCATTGTTAAGCATAACTGGATTCATACTTTCTTTGTAGTGTTTACCATACGTGACCTGTACATGGAATAATTGGATGGAAGACAACATTATTTCATGGTGATTTGATTGAGGATATCCGCATGCAACTACCACCAAGGTTTGAAGTTATGTTAAAAGAAGATTAGGTGTTTATGGTAAAGAAGTTTCTCTGCAGCTTAGAACAGACTCGTAGATCGTGGGATAGAAGATTTGATCTTTCATGGGTTAAGGAGAAAACCCATTTGGCAAATGTGTGCAAGCATTTTGCTGTTGTTCTTACATGTTGATAATATATCAATTGCAGCCAGAGACAATTCAGATGTGAGAACTAAAATTGATTAAGTGTAATATTTGAAATGAAAGATGTTTAAAAAAAGGAATTTGAAAATAAAGATGGTTAGAAATAGAAAGACATGCACCTTATTTCTAACACGAGATATGTTGAGGTGTTTCAGATATTTGAAATTGTTAAAAAGATTTGGTTTGTAGAATTCAAAGACTACAACTTCTCCACTATTAATCATTTTCTTTCATCAAGTTTTTTTTCTCTTTGATCACCCAAAGATAAGTATATTACGGGAGTATCTTATACTAGCGCAGTTTGAACTGTTATGTAAATCTTAATGTGCTTTCATTTGGATATTTCATATGTTGTTAGTATTGTGAGCCGATAGATGAATAAGCCTACTTAAGCTCATTTGGGAAGAAGTGAAATGGACTTCAACGTGTCTCAGATGCTATACATCTTATAATTTTATACATTTTCTGGTTTGATTTGGTTGCAATGTTGTGAGATTTGTAAGTTCTAGTTTTGTTAGCAATTATGCTAGGAGGTCTAAAGACTTGGAGTGTCATTGTGTGTGTGGGCCTGCATTTAGAAGGCTTAACTTCATCTTATAGTTACTGATTCCTTAAGAAATATAGATTATATAACTCCTTCTGAAGTCACTAAAGGAGTTATTTAGTTGAGGGGCTTGTTGAAGACTATATTTTATATCTGAATAACTTAGTTGTTTTCTGTAGCAATTAGAGTGTTCTATTCATTTGGCAAAACATCATAAGCATTATGAAATAACTAAGCATGTTGATGTTCAATGACTTTTTATCAAAGAGAGGATTGAAAATGAATACTCAGTTCAAAAGATTTTCCGAGAGCAAAATTCTTCTAATTTACTTGATAAGGTGATCCCTATTATCAAGTTTAGCTAATGCTGGACTTAATTGGTTTGTATAATTGCTACTGTACTTCAAAGCTACTTTTTTCTTACTAGTAAGAGGATTTCATATAAGGAGTATGACTTTAAATATTTAATCAAATTAATTCATTTTGTTAATTAGTTAAATATGCATTTTTCTATTAGTGGGGTGTGATTAGCTATTTTTATAAAGTCTAACTAGGCAAGTAACTAGAGAAAGGAATCAGGACAAGGATTTTGATGATTTTTTCGCTTCTTTTGTGTTGTTGAACTGAAAAGAAAAGGGGAAGCGAGCACTTGTGATTTTGTTGAGAGGAAGATTATTGTGTGTGTTGTAGCTATTCTTGGATAAGGCTGTAAATGAGCCGAGCTTGAGTGAGCATAAGCTTGGCTTGTGTCGGCTCATTCGAAATTAATTCTATTTGAAATCGGTTTGTGTTCGAAATTGTTTGTGAACATTGTATTCATATTTAGCTCGATTTATATATTCTTGTTCATGTTCTCTCATGTTAGGCTCGAAATTGTCTAATTTAAATTAATTAGAAAATAAATGTATGGTGTTTGGTTTGAACCTGCAATTAGATAAATACATGAAGGCTGTTTGATTTCGAACCTGCACCATTTCTATACAATAAAATCACATGAATAAGCTAGTTGCAGTGATTTAAACATATATATATATATATATATATATATAATTTCTATCATTTTCTTATTTTGAGCTAAAACAACTTGAACACGATCGAATAAAGGATTGCTCGTGTTTGACTCATTTATAATTCGAGCTTTAAAATTTATTCGTGTTCTACTTGCTTATTCAATAAACGATTCAAACACAAGTTACTTAATGAGTCGAACACGAAGCTGTTCGTGAACAACGAACTTTTTTAACATCCCTATTCTTGGAGTTTTGGTTTGTGAAATTATTCTTTTTTTATGTCTTCATCTTGAAAATGATTGCTTAATGATTGATGAGATCTTCGCTTGTTATTTTCTGAGTTTTTAACTTGATGTGGATCTATCTGTGCCTCCTTGCTTTGTGGATGTTTGGCATTCAACCATGTCAAATTTGGTATTCTTATCCATATGACTTTGTATATTATTCGTTATTTTTTGTGGCGCTAATTTGTTTTGTAGGTTGGTTTTATTGTAACACGATGAACAAAATAATGAGTTTTTCTATCTTATTATTTCCCACCTCTTTTTTATTTTGAAGTAGTCCATCTACTTTCTAAGGTATTTGAAAATTTGCATATTAGCTGTTTAGTGATATAATCATGGCCATCGGATTGTACTCTTCAGGTACCTCATGCCATGAAAAGCTTTGAAGGAGAAAGGAGCAGATTAGTTTGATAAAAAAAAATTTAAACAAACCTTTCCATTATTATTTAGAGTAATTAGCTGATTTGTTCCATGCCTCAATTTTATAGGCATAAAAAACTTTGGACTAAAGTGATTTGAGAATAATTAAATTAGTTTGACGATTCTATAATATTTTTTTGGGTGGACAGTTAATTGCGCTTTTAATGGACATAATTTAGATATGTTGTGGTAGTAGCTGCACTAGTGGTGCCGTGCTGCCTTCTTCCATGTTAGCTTTCATGCATAGCACCAGTAAGATTGTCCAGAACAAAATGTATTGCATAAATTTGAAAAAAAAAAAATTTTTTTTGTCTATTAATTATTGCGCATAATTCACCTATTTACTTGATTCCTACAAAACTCGTCATCATCATCATCATTAGTATTATCCCAACTATTTGAGCTGGCTATATGAATCCCCAGTCATCTTTGACATTTCTGGAGAAAAAACCTGCTTTTGCCTTTTATGCTGCAGCTATATAGAAATTTTTTTTCTTTATTTCATCCTATCATTGGCCCAAACTGTTTTTTTCCCCTAAACATCTCAAATATGGTTCAATGGCATTATGATTCTTATTTGGAAGATTCACTTACATACCACTTAATTCCTATGTATTTACATATCTAACTCTTAAAATTTCAATTTGTGCATATATGCTACCTTACCTATGCATGAAAAGATATATTTCACCTTTTAAAAGTTAAAAATAGTTGTGTTTTGTATGTGATATGAAATATTTGGGTGTTATTAATGTAAAAAAATAAAGTTTAGGTGTTAGATATGTAAATACATATGAATTGGGTGGTATGTGAGTAAATGCCCCTTTTTATTTCAATCCATGAAGCTATGCATATTTAGTTGCTTTTTGACTTAATAAAGACTATTCTCACTCTAATTTGGATACTTCTTTCAGGCAGATATTCAGGTGAGGGATAAAATTTTGGTACTGCTGGAATCCTGGCAAGAAGCATTTGGTGGAGCTGGAGGAAAGTATCCGCAATACTACTATGCATATGCTGAACTTAAGGTGTGTAATAGCATTACAATTGTTATTTCAGTTTTTAAGTATACTATCTATTCTTAGGACTGAAAGAATTCATTAAATATTCTGAACTGAAATATCAATTATAATGCTATTAATCTAAATAAGAAACATATGATGGTTTGATTTAGGGTGTGGAGTTTTTGGATAAGGCCAAAAAAGAATCAAAGTGATGTTATTTGATTGGTTTAGTTCGGTTGTTAATTTATTGATTCAATTATGGTTTGTTATTTTGGCTCTTTTGATTTTTGGTCTTTTGTTATGCTTTTGCTTTTAGAAAAAACCGACCAAAACAAATACGAATTGTATTACTTTCTTGAAATATTAAATGAATATAGCAAGTGAATTATAAATAAATAAGCAATAGAGAGATTGTCATTCTAAAATTATAATATTTAACAGAGATTTCTTAGTATTCTTCTTAATACATGCTCAAGCTAAATATAATTATGTTTGCTGGTACAATTAACTATTTTCGATTCTTCAAAAACAAATTAACATGGCCAAACTAAAGTTTGGTGCCATTTAGTTTGGTTTAGAAAATGATCTGAAAATATTTTATTTGTTGGATTTTGCGATTGAAATTAATTGATGTAGCTAATTCATAAAGCAAATCAATCAAATGAACATCCTCAGTAGTAGAAATGGTATAATGTAGTAACCATGATATAAATGACTCACTTCTCCCGTCAGCTACAAATAAAAAGTTTGGGCAGAAGTTTTAATTTTTTGTGATTAGTTGTTTCAAATTATTTTCTAGATAGTTTAGTGTATAAACACTTATTAAGGAATTAACAAAGAAATTTTTTTAGTCACTTTCTCTTTTCTATGGGGAGCAGACATGAATATTTACAGATTTGGCATCAAAGTTTAATGCTCAACAAATTTAAAGAAATGTGCTAATTTAATCATTGGCTAACCACAAGCATTGTCATTTGCAGACCTCTGGGATCAGGTTTCCCGAACGACAAAAAGATGCTGCTCTTATATACACACCTACTGGGCAAACTTTTCACCCGCAAGTAGGATATGGGATGCCCAGCAACTCTGTTGAAAGACTCAACGAAGCAATTGAAAATGGAAATCTTAGGTGACATTTTATTTTATTTTTATGCATCTATGCACTAATTCCTGCT